ATTTGTGTTCTACTGATTTTACATTTACAAATATGTATGTAAAATAAAGGTCAAAACCATTTTAAATATAAATAAAGTTTGTTTCATACCACTTAGAAAACAGTATTTTTGACTGTCCTAGACTAACTACACTTTACCATAAAATATAACCTTAAAAGTACTTAAAAAATTATATTATTTTTGCCTTGATGTGTGAATCCATTTAACATTTCAGTTGTGTCCCTTAAAATTCACTCAACCCTGTTACCTGAACACATTCACCCCTATGAAATATCTGGAATTTTCTGCTAATCGTATATTTAACAGCAATTTTCATATTGTGATACTGACTGACAAGGTCATTTTGAAAGTAAAGCCCTGTCACCTAAATCACACAATAAAAGTTCTTTAAGAAATTTTGATATTGTTCTTAAGATGGTTAACACTCTTTGTGAATGGTTAAATGCATGTTTTCTTAGATTCAATGTTAAAAAACTGATGAGGCCTAAATGGCACCCGAATTATGAAATTACCCTCATACATACTTTGTTTTGTTAGCATTATTGCCTTAGATTTAGCAACCTGAAGTATAAATTTAGGAGTTAATGTCTACATCTGAACCTGGTGTGTCCCTCTTGTACAGTTTGGCAAGTAAGTGAGGTTTTGTGCACTTTCCATGTCCTTGTGGAACTCCATCTCTCTCCAGACAGTCAATTTACTGCTTTTCTATCTAATAACACACACTGCATGGGCTGGTTAGCTTAATGGGGAGCCATAATCACCACTACGCCTTTCTTCATTTGCTTCCACCCATCCGTATGTAATGAAAAACAAACATTCAGAATTGCATACGAGGGCGGCAGCTATTACCATACAGTGCACCCGTTGGGTCATAGACTTGTGTATTCTTTCCTCTTGTAAATTATTTAGCCAGTCCCCACTGCTGACAAGAGCTGGCAGGGCAGCCATCCTGAGGGCATCGGTAATGATGAAGATGCTCAGTGGGAAAGAATCATCACACTCAGGGGTAGGACACTGGAGCCTTTAAACAACTTTGAGGGGCATTTTCAAATAGGCCAGGCAATTTCTGCTGATTTGGCATTATATTTGCCATTACAATGCTTCTTGTGTTAAAGAAAGGTTACAAGGGAATATCTCAGCACCTCACACTGGCATTTTCTGCCCATTTTTACCAGTAAGTTTAGACTTATTGTACAGAATATATCCAGACCAAGTGAACAGGCACCACCTCCATTCAGTTCAATTTCATGGGCTTATGTATTGCCATGTGCTCATAAAGTAGTTATGGAGAGGGAATCAGAGCTATAAGAAACATTCATTGATGATGGAAGACAGAGCCATGGCGAAAGAATACGTCTTCTTTTGAATTGAGTTTAAGAGTTCTAAGATTGAAAACTTAAAAAGTTTTAAAAAGGCCTACACAGTATAGACACAGTACCAGTATTGTGACTATTTTGCTACATATTGAGATGGCAGGATACCTTTAATATAATAAAAATGGATTGGTGAAAAATTTGCTTGCATTATTTTGACAAAAAATTCAAAATTGCTTCCTATTATAGAAATAGTGCACTGTGTAGTGTGTTAGCAATGTTGTAGTGTTTAAATTCTCAATGGTAAATTTTTTGATCATTCCTTGCTCATGAATCAGCTTCCTATATAGTACAGGCTATGTAGCAAATAGTGAAGGAGTTAAGGCAATGATTTGTTGATGTTGTTCAGGACACAGTATTACTTACTGTGAACTGTAAAAAGTGTACAAAACATCACCTTGTAGCTGAATGCTGAGGGCAGCCATTTTAGACAACAAATGGCACAGATTACAATCACGATTTGTTGAGCGAGTTTTTAGGAAGGTGTTTACAAAAAGGATTGGATCACTGTTGCCTTCTATTGTTTGTTAGTAATGTTAACCTCGTAGCTCCAGCTTAAAACTAAAGAAGAAAAAATTGGACACCAAATGTGTCTTGGTTGATTGACTACATCTGGAAAATTGTGTAAATTTAATTTTTCGCTAAGCCGTTCTTTCAATGTGTGAACCATTCCACGCACAACAAAAGTGTTTGTTTTAGCAGCAGTAATGTTGTGTGTTTTGCTCTGCTGTTATATCGGGGCTCTGAGTGATGGGTAGAGTGAGTGGGAGGGCGCAGACAGCTGTGCTGTTTGTGATTCAGTGTCGCTCTGTTGGTCTCTAGAGCGTTACTTTCTGCACTCATCGCTTCAGGGCGTTCTCGAGGTGTTGCAGATGTGCCATGCACTTTCTTCAAGAGCTGAAACATTTCAGAAAGAAAAAAACATGCTCTGAAAAATCCACGCTCGTTTAGACTGCAGGTTCTGGGGGGCACAGGGGTGCTGCAGAAGTAAAAGCAGACACAATGTGATTTCATGACCAGCAACTCAAATACAATACACACCGTAATGCTATAAGAATGGATAACACAAGCTAAAGTACCATGAACATTAGCTTACTTTAAGATGTGACCATTTATGTAGTCGTTGCTGTTGGGCAGGAAAGCATGTGATCTGTACACATAGCCCTGGATGTGGATTGTACTCCCTGATATCATCCTCTTTCCACAGTGAGAAGCATATTTCTCCTCCTAAGGGAGAGATGATTGAGAACATCCTCTCGCAGCGTAATCTGTTAAACAATGCCAGGCTGCTATTGGGCAGCTTTTGATGCTTTGTTTTGTTGGGGCAGAGCACAACGTTTACGGCACCCCATAAATCCCTGCCGCTCGCAGTCGCAAAGGGACAGCAGTGTGTAATTTTGCGATCGATTCTGTTTGCGGGCAGGCATATTATGGCCATAAATCTTACAGCAGGGCAGGTTTGATTGGTCAGAGTGACAGTAAACTTCCTCCTTTCAGACAGCAAACAGGAATGGATGGGCTCTGGGTCAGCAGCAGAAATGCACTGAGCTCTGCTTCCTCTGAAAATGGCAGATTCAATTGCATGCTTGAAAGCCTGATGACCCGTAATGTTTAATGACCTGAAAAGGTGACTGGTGCTTCCAGGTAGATGTTATTTCACTGATCTAGGAACAGTTTCTCGTGTCCAGAGCTCACTGACCTAATCTTTTCTAAAAACATCAACGTTCTCTGACAAACACAAACATTCTGCAAAACCACCAATATATTTCTGCAAACATCGTCAATCTCCACCAAACACCAACATTATGTAACCCCATCATTATGCGAACCCTCACTGTCCACCACCAACATTCTCCATCAAACACCTATATTCTCAAATACAATCGTTCTTCAAACCTGCATTCTCCAAAAAGCAACATTCTCCACCAACACCAACATTCTCTATACCCATCTTTCTCCAAACCCTCATTTTCCACCACACATCAAAATTCTCCAACAAACACCAACTTTCTCTTACAAACATCACAATTCTCCATCAAAAACCATCATTCTCCAACCAACACCAGTGTTCTCCAACATGCACCATCATTCTCCAGAAAACACCAATGTTCCCTATGTTCTCCGTTCATGATGATTTACTTTCCTGCTGAGTTTAGTCCTAATCTGAGAAACCTGATCCAGCTAATATTGAGAGAAACACCACAGGGGGCTGGAACTAGGGGTGGGAATATTTAGGCACCTCACGATTCGATTCGATTACAATTCAGAGGGCTGCGATGAGATTATAAAACGATTATCGATTCATCTCGATGCATCTTTTTTTTCTATACATGATTTCTATTTTCTTACTGTCTGAGGACTTGGTAGTTTTAAAACAAAGTATTTGTAATGATCCATAATGAATTTACTTCCAATATCTTTTATTAATAAAACAAATGGAAGTGATGTGGCAAGTGAACTAGAAGACTCTCATTCACTGCTCTTGTTTAGAGATGCCTGCCACTCATCTGCAACAAAATGCGCTGTTGCGGTGAAATAAGGTCCAGTGGTAATAGATGACCACACAGCACATTATATAGTCTTTAGTGACGAAAAAGGAAAAGAGAAAGACAAACATTTGGAGACGAACAGACTTATTCGCATCTATAAGCAGCACACTTGGTTTCCTGGTACGTTAAATCTGCAACGAGAGACTGTCAAACACTAACTAAAAAGTTGCAAAGATGAAGTCGCTTCTCTTTCTAATTAATCTTAATCTTTCTAATTCCATCTTAAATGGTGCCGCAATTACATTTGGCGTCTCAGTCAGAATTTAAGGTGGAACCGGAAAGTTCAGCAAGATGCTGGCGAGTGAAAAGCGACTTCAGCCTCGTAAAACAGCCGAAAGCTTTGAGACATTTTTTTTAAATATTTAGAAAAGCGATTTTTGACATAGGGCGGCACGGTGGCGCAGTGGGTAGCGCTGTCGCCTCACAGCAAGAATGGCCTGGGTTCGATTCCCGGCCGGGCGACCGGGGTCATTTCTGTGTGGAGTTTGCATGTTGTCTGTGTGGGTTTCCTCCGGGTACTCACAGTCCAAAGACATGCAGTCAGGACAATTGGACATGCTAAATTGCCCCTAGGTGTGAGTGTGTGTGTGACTGTGTATGTCTGTCTGTCTGTCTGCCCTGCGATGGACTGGCGACCTGTCCAGGGTGTATCCTGCCTTCCGCCCAATGACAGCTGGGATAGGCTCGAGCACCCCACCGTGACCCAGAAGGATAAGCGGTTTAGATGATGTATGTATGTATGATTTTTGACATTTGTGAATCGATTCAGAATCGTCCACATCTCCATCGCGATGCTTCGAAGAATTAATTTTTTTCCCGCACCCCTAGCTGGAACTGTGGCCTTCACTCTGGTAACTGCCTTCATTTTCAATAGAAAGTTCGACTTAAGCCTTTCTTTTTGTTCTGGTGATTTTTTGTGAGCATCGAACAGTGTTGAAGATGCCTGACTTCATAGTTACCAGAGGTTGACATTCCACACTTAAAATCATTTGTCTTTCAGAATTTTAGCTCAAAACAAACCTACTTTTACCTGGGTGTGATTTTAAAGTCTGCTCTTTTGTCTTGCTGTGTTTCACAGGGTGCTCTGAGTGCTGTATTAAATGCCTGAGCGGGATTCCCTATGCCTCTCTCATTGCCACCATCCTGCTGTATGCTGGTGTGGCGCTGTTCTGTGGCTGTGGTCATGAAGCTCTCTCTGGCACCGTCACCATCCTGCAGAACTACTTTGAAGTGGTCCGATCACCAGTCGATGCCCTGGATGTCTTTACCATGTGAGTACTGACTTTAAAAGAACAGTATGAGCTTGAAATAAGCACAAATGGTGTGTGCTAGCATAGAGTTAGCATAGATGTTCTGTGATATTAACAGGGTCATTTTTGGGAAAATTGAATGGAAGGTACCATGAAACTGGGAGCAGCAATTAACATGGCTGTGATAACTGCTAATTTTCATGACCTGCTTGCTTATGTTCACCATTATTAGCAGTGTTAGCATTTTTGGTTCACGTTTGGCGTAGGCAAGTGATTAAAAGCATGGATTGCATTATTCAGCAGAGGTTCAGCGACTCGGATTTCAATCACATGTTGACTCACTTGTGATTTGATTCAGAGCCCAGACTTAAGACCAAGACACTGACGTGGTGGTGGTGTGTTAGTGTGTGTTGTGCTGGATCAGACACAGCAGTGCTGCTGGAGTTTTTAAACATTGTGTCCACTTACTGTCCACTCTATTAGACGCACCTGCGTTGTTGGTCCACCCTGTAGATGTAAAGCCAGAGACGATAGCTCATCTCTTGCTGTATAGTATGAGCTAATCATCCTCTAGTCCTTCATTGGTGGTCACAGGACGCTGCCCACAGGATGCTGTTGACAGGATATTTTTGGTTAATGGACTGTTCTTAGTCCAGCAGTGACACTGAGGTGTTTAAAAACTCCAGCAGCACTGCTGTGTCTGATCCACTCGTACCAGCACAACACACACTAACACACACACACCACCATGTCAGTGTTACTGCAGTGCTGAGAATGATCCACCACCCAAATAATACCCGCTCTGTGGGGGTCCATGGGGGTCCTGACCACTGAAGAACAGGGTAAAAGGGGGCTAACAAAGTATGCAGAGAAACAGATGGACTACAGTCTGTAATTGTAGAACTACAAAGTGCACCTATATAGTAAGTGGAGCTGATAAAATGGACAATGAGCGTAGAAACAAGGAGATGGTGTGTGTATATATATGTATATATATATATATATATTTGTATTGCAAGTGTGCTAGCTAGCACAATATCTAATGTAGCTGAAGTTGTTGGCTAATCTAGCTGATGTTTTAGTAAGCTACAGATTCATTTTTCTCATTGGAATTCCAGTCCTTTTCCTTTGTAACACTTTTTTTATTACCTGCCTACTGGCAAGCTTGGCACGCCCTCACCCAATGCACAGCAACTACTGGAGGCTGGGAAGAGTTTGTTCCATCTTGTAGCCAAGTTGAGAGGATCAGACTCTGGCTCAAACTGATACGGCAGAACGGACACCATTGGATAAATAGCCACACTAGTGTTTACTGCTGCTCAGGAGAGAAGGGTCTGTCTGTAGACTGCAAGACAGGGGCGGAACATATAGGGGCAGAACCTCTCTGGTGGTTGGCCAATCAGAACAGCGTGGGTGAGCTGACTAGTCAGAGCACACTGGGCTCATCTGAAGGAGGGTCTGAAAGACACAGGAGCTCTAACAGAGCATTTTAGGCAGAGGGTGAATGTGTTTTTGGAAATAGAAACATGTAGATCTATTGTAGTAGAGCCCAAAACAAAATTATGAACAGTAGAATTGAGCATAATAGGCCCTCTTTAAACAGCACACTTAACTGCATGTAATGTCCATCAGATTGAAGGTTTTTCTATAATGAAAGGCTTGTTGTTTGAAGCCGTGTTGAACCTGGCAGGTTTTTAGCCCGAATTTACTTTTGTATAATGCAGTACCTGCAGCTAATAATGAGTCTGAGCTAAAATTCGCTACTAAAGACTTTAGATTCCACTCACACTCCCAGCCCAGAGACTGCAGAGTCAGCCTTGCTTGTACTGACTTTTCAACATTTCTGCCATTCAGTAGAATCATAGTTTGAGTCTTGACAAAATCTCTTTTACATAATGAAAATTCTTAAAGACGTTTGCCCAGGTGTAGGCTACACAATGACAACAACACAAGGGTAAAAGTTTTGAAAGTGGCCTATTTTCATATACTTCCTCCACTATAAAAGGAAAGTTGTCTTTAGAATGTGTCTCTTTGACACAGAAAATGAAAAATGAGTGTATTTTTTCCTGTCCAGGCCATTGTGAGGTTGGTACCTTGGCTGGCCCAGTTACACGGCCTGCTGCGGCTGTTTCTCAAGCTAACACTGCTGCTCCTTTATGACGTTTTATGAATTATTTACTTTAGAGGTAATTACCCCGATTTGAGCTTGTGTGGCTTACTTTTCCAGTCACCCATGCATGAACACGTCTTCATTCACCACCACCTTTGACCAGTTAAGAATGATTAAATCTGAGCAGGCCTCTCCAAATCCTGTTCTTAGTACAATACAGAGTGCAGTAGTGAGAGTAAAGAATGACTTCATTTGAAAAAGTATTGTAGCAGGTTCCTGTTAAAGATAATGAAGTGAATTATTGACACTTTCCTTTGATAGAGCATTTAGAGTCTCCCTCTATCTCTCTTTCTCTCTTTCCTTCTTCATATCTCTTCTCTCTCTGTTCCCTTTTTCTGTCTGTCCCTGTTGCTCTCTCTCACTTTCTCTCTCTCTATGTCTCTATGCTTTTTTTCTCTTCCTTTCTTTCTCTGTCTCTCTATCCTGTCTTCTCTATTTCTTCTTTTTCAGTCTCTTTCTTTCTCTCTCTCCCTCCCTCCCTCTCTCTTTCTCTCTCTCTCTCATTTTCTCTCACTCTTTCTCCCTTTTTCTCTGTTCTTCTCTTGTTCTTGTTCTTTTTCTTTCTCTCTTTCTTGTTCACTCGCTTTCTTTTTCTCTCTCTCTTACTCACTGTCTTGCCATCTCTCTTTCTTTCTCTGTTCTCTCTCTATTCTCTTTATCTGTCTCTGTTGCTCTCTCTCTTGCAGTCTCTCTCTGTCTCTCTATCCTTTCTTCTTTCTTCCTTTCTTTCTGTCTCTTTTCCTTTCCCTCCTTTTTTCTGTCCTTTCATACTCTCTCGCTTTCTCCCTCTGTCTGTCTCTCTATCCTTTCTTCTCTCTTGTTTTCCTTCTCTCTATCTTCCTTTCTTTTTGTCTCTCTTCCTTTCCTTCCTTTTTTCTGTCCTTTCATACTTTCTCGCTTTCTCCTCTTTCTGTCTCTCTCTCTCTCTTTCTCTCTCTCTCTCTCTCTCTCTCTCTCTCTCTCTCTCTCTCTCTCACACGGACACATCTATTGTGGAAGATTGATTTTGCAGGCTAGTATGTGAGGTATTGGCTATGGTCCCACTCAGGGGATTAAACGTTCTGAAATCGCTCTGGGTTGCCTCCGCACACCTGCTCACTGCCACTACCTGGCCAACGAAGAGAGAGAAAGGAAGGGAGGGAGGGAGAAAGAATGAGAAAGAGAAAGGGGGTTAACCCTTAGAATGCTCAGTTATCTCTGGCGATAATAAAAGCATGTTGAAAGTTTATATGCAGTATTTCCCAGTCGTAGCTCATCAAATCAAGTGGATTCACTGACAACATTACTGTTTAAAGATAAACTGGTTTTTACAAGATTTAGGCCAATTTCAAGCTAAAAAAGAAAGGATTTTGGAAACCATGTGTACATTGATCAAACCAGGGCGATCTTTCAGCCACTGGGCATTAAAGTGATCATTGTTAATGTTTTAAAGGAGGTGTTTTGAGCAATGGAATCTGCCCCTATAGATGAGCTAATGCTAAAGAAAACACTGGAGTTCGTGCAGCATTTTATACTGAAGAAGCCATGTCCACCTGTAATTTAGGACTTCTGGCACATTTTAATAAAACAATACAAGTAATGGTACATGAATGAGTACATTAATATTTAGCAATATTCAGCTGTGATTGGCTGAGAGGTGTGTCAGTCATTCTGTTGCAAAATAGTCAATTAACTACGTAATTACGTTTGAATAGTATAGCAAACCACAGTAATAATAGTTGGCTTCTAAGGGTTAAGAGTGGGACAGTGAGTGATGGATGGGATTGGAAGAAGGGAAATATATAAAGAGAGAGGCAGAAGGAAGAAAGTGGCAGACATTGGCACAGAAGCAGCAGAACCTGAGGCTGTGAGATTCCATTAGTCACTCGTTCTACTCTGGTCTGTACTGTACACCCACCAGCCACTGCAGACTGACTGTAGCAGTGAGAGATTGAAACATTTGACCAAAGATTCGTCTATTTAGTGCAGCTCTGCACTGGCATTGCATGCCTTGCATACATTTTTAGTGTATAATACATTGTACAAAACACTGACATGCATTTGGATTTATGTAATAAATCAATTATATAAACCTTCTGATCATTAATATTGTGGCATTTTGTCATCATGGCCATCAACGGTGGCCCTACTGTCAGGTTAGATCCCCAGGAATGCTAGAGCCATCGGCAGCCAAGAGAACATAATTGGCCTCACTTTCTCTGGGTGGGTAGGACAGTTGTCCCTCTCCTTCCAGGTGTGGGCATTGCTCTAGGCCCCTTAGATTTACTATACATGTTGATGTTAAAAAACCTGTTCTAAGATATATAAACATTAAAAAAAAAAGCTGTTGATGGTTAGTTTTATTATTATTATTATTATTAGTAGTAGTAGTATTATTAGTAGTATTATTATTATTATTATAGTTTTTATTAACTTAAATTATCACAATATTGGCAGATAATTTTACTTGTTTTGCTCATATTTATTAAAAGGAGCAAAATTATCTGCTAATATAGTGAGACAATTTCACTTAATAAAATCACTTAAAACAAGTAAAAATATCTAGAAACAAGTTAAAAGTCCCAAATAATGGAAAATCTAATTTTCCTCGCTTTTTTTGAAGTAACAGAGGCTTGTAGTATGTAAACAGTGTTAAAGTCCTAAAACACACTGATCACTCTCCAGTCCATATAGTTCATATATGGAAAGATATGATGGTAAGAATCAACCTGGTTTTCAGTGTTTCTGTGATGTCATCAAAAACCAACACATTTACACTCATATATACCTGCCTATTCAAGCAAAGAAGCAGAGCTAATTTACATATATCAGTCTTAAAGGCACTGTAACAAAAATAGCCTGTTTAACTCTAAGGCATATAATGAAGAAGGAAAATGGTCATGTGACCATTAATGAAGTTTGACTGTTTTCAGTACCTAAACCCACACAAACATTATAAGGGCATGAGCTGAGTGGAAATGAAGCCTAACTTGCTTCCCCCTCTGTAGGATTGACATTCTGAAGTATGTGATCTATGGAGTGGCTGCAGCGTTTTTCGTCTATGGGATCCTGCTGATGGTGGAGGGCTTTTTCACCACTGGTGCCATCCGTGACTTGTATGGAGATTTCAAAATCACCACCTGCGGCCGCTGTGTTAGTGCCTGGGTAAGACACACTGGTCTGTCAACACTACTGTTCGACAGTCTGAAGTCAATTGTCAAATTAAGTGCTCTTATTGTATTCAATAGTGACACATACAATGTATATAGAAAATTAATGTATGGTGTAGATTGAAACTAGACACCAAATGATAGATTTAGGTGTCATTCATTTGTTCAAGTATTTTTGGGAACAACAAGAATTAATAAAAAAATATACCATAATAATATTGTGTAATTCTATCTATGTATAGCAATGTCTCCTCTGGTGTTCTGCCACAAGACTATCACTTTTGAAGTCAATCTGAATATTCATTTTATTATATGTTAATTTGGGTGTTACAGCTTTCTCTGTTCTTTTGGAACTAGTGAGCATTCTGGACACATTTCAGATTTTTACAAATTATTCTGAATCTGTAAAGTTGTAAAGAATACTACAATATTAATATCTTCTATCATATCCTCCAAAACAATTGATTTTATATTATTGTTAACAGGGATTACAAACAAGCTAAATATGAGGGTAGTACAATGGTCTAAGTCTCTAAGTACTGGTCTTAGATTATCACCCATTTTCTATTGACCTACCCATGCTCTGCTCACAAATGTGTCTTTCATAGCGACCATTGCTAGGATGCTTTATAGAAGCTTGCCAAAAATGCCATTTAACCCAGAGAAACTGTACAACACAATGGGCCTTAATCATCAAAGCTGCATAAGAAGGAGTGCAGATTTGACCATCTAATGTTTGAACTACTCTGCATCCGATTCAGGAAATGTTTGTGCGCCATGGAAAGAAGTGAAGATTTGAGCTCAAATAATGAAACACTTTTAGTGTGTGATCAATCATCAGCAATCGTTATGGAGTCAATAATGTGGCAGCATTCAGTGGCTTGTGAGCCAGTGACTGCTTGTGAGTGCCATATGCACAAATTAGTATTATTGTTATTTTCTATTTTTATTCTAATTATTGGCATTATAGACAATGTTGATATTAATGTTGATATTTTGGTTAATTAGCCACAAATCAAGCTTTTTTTTAGGTTCTTAAACTGTTACGTTCAAATTTGTATTTACTTCTACCAGGCGTGACTTTGATTGTACAGATAAAACTGAAGAATCAAAAAAACGGACGCAATGGGCCATAAAGGGCCAGTGTTTAGAAGTGGGTGTCCAGGTAAAATTAACACAAACAACACAAAAGTAGACTGTTTTTGTTGCTTAGTAAAACAAGGCAGGTTTGGTGACCATTCACATGTCTACAGAATAAGTACCATTTGAAATCAAAATTGTGTTCTAAATTTAGGTATTTTTTACAAAAAGACTGAGTTAACATAAAGGTTATAGAGGTTTACAAAAACGCCACAGTTTCTCCTTAGGTTGGATGAGATTTCTGCCAGTGTTCTCTAAAGCTTGTTCAACCTGACAACAGTTGCTATGAAACAGCATATTTATGGATGGAGCATGAAAGACAAAAGTGATTCAAGATCTGTCCTATTGTGAAAAACAACACCCTTCCTATGGATAAGTAAAGGGAATACTCAGTATAAAAAATTGATCTTCTATGCTAGCTTGCAATATGACACCTTAATTGACTGCAAATAAATACTGTAGTTATTTGATATGCTAAAAATCGAACCATGTCTTCACTCAGGCCTTTAAAATAAAGCTTTTATACTGTACATAAGAGACACTCTCTTAACTTGATTGACAGTCTTGTTGGTGTGTCTCTGATCTTAATGGAATAATGCTGTTAAAGGGTATTGAGTTGGTGATGTCATTAAATAAAAGTGTCTCTAATTAATTACATCTCACTCTTCCTCTGTTACCTCACATTCCTTATTTTCCTCGTTCTCTCTCCCCCTCTCAGTTCATCATGTTGACCTATGTCTTTATGCTGGCCTGGCTTGGGGTCACCGCTTTCACCTCTCTGCCCGTCTTCATGTACTTCAACATCTGGAACACCTGCCAGAACACCACTCTGGTGGAGGGTGCCAACCTGTGCTTTGATTTGCGCCAGTTTGGTGAGCAGTTCCTCTCTTTATTTCTATTCAACAGCCTTTAAAGCTATCTATTCAGAGCTACACTGCAGTACTGCATGTTCAACTCCTGCATGAAAACAATATACAACTATTGGTCTTCTAACCATATCTGTCTTTTGTGGATTGTAAAATAAGTGTATGTAAATACACCCATACAGCCAAAATCCACACCACTTAACCCACATTCTTCACCTTACCCAGTCATCTGTCCTAAATTAATATTTAAAAGGCTCATATTTTTGTACATTTTTCTCTGAAGTCCATTTATAATTTTTGTGTCGATTTGTATACTAAAACAATAACTTTCCAACCTCTATTTATTTGTGACAATTCGTGGTTGCTTTTATTACTAGGCCTTTAAGACTGATACAGTACTGTGCAAAGGTTTTAGGCATCTGAGATTTAAAAGAAAAAAAGAAATCTGATTTAAAAAGCTGTTTATCTTGGCAGTAAGTCTTCATCTATGCAATAGCTGGGGGCCTCCAGGAGAAATCTGAAAACAAAATTTGTTAAACTTTGTTCTTCAAATTAGCTCACAAGATACCAACTACTTTTTTTTCTTGTTACTCTTTACTCTTATGCTTATTTGTGTTTGTTTTAATGACATATAGCAATTTTACAAGCACAAACACACTTATTGCCAAGACAAATGGCTTTAAACAGTGTGCTTAGGTGCTTAAGACTTTTACACATTACTGCATGCACGGTAAAAAAAAAAAGAAAGTTTACATTTTTAAAAAAAGTTACTAAAAGTTAGTAACCTTCATAAACTACAATGAACTTAAAATATACAACGGAATATTTCTAACAGTAAGTTAACACAAAATTAACTTACTGTTAGAAGTTCATTGAACTTTAATTTAAGGCAACTAGGTTACTTAAACGTTAAAGCATTGAAGAATTTTTACATGTAAATGACCTGTGTTCTGCTTGGCTGCCCTGTATTGTTCCTTGTTCTAAAACAGTGAACAAACATCTTAGTTTATTACTTCTTCATGAATTGGACAGTCATATTTAAATGTGTTCATGACTGTGACATCACAACAGTCACTTAGTTTTCATATATGACTCCTGTAGATTGAGAGGTATATTTACACTGTCCAAAAAAAATGTCAGCAATTTTTATTTTTCTACATCATTTGAACACAGCAAGTGCACTTTATATTGTATGAAAATTTCATGATGAATGGATCAATATAAATGCTCCAAAAGCGACTGTAATAAACACTTCTTCACATTAACTTACATTGAAAGTTAAGAAAGTTTTTAAAGTTCCTGTTTTGGAGATATATGTTTTTTATTTGGACAGCAATGATATGTGAGTGTTACATTTTTAGTCTAATGATGTTTCCATATTGAATCAAAGTCATTCATTAAAAAAAATCCAGGAAGATTTAGTTTTCCATGATATGGACCCTGTAAACAGTCCTTGTTCATCTGCAGATTCAGTCAAATTGCTGCTCTACACAAGAAGATACAGTACTGTGGCATAGTTAAACCCCATACAGTGAGAGTTAACATGTTTCTCCTCTGTATCTGCTCTCAGGAATCGTGACCACCAATGAGGAGAAGAAAGTTTGCACAGGTTCGGAGAAGTTCTACAAGATGTGCGAGTCTAATGAGGTCAGTGGGCAGTACTGAATATCTTTCATCTCCTCTGATGGCCTTCATCTGAATTCAGTCTGGTCCTGCAGTCAGTCTCTTAGAGCTCTGAGGGAAGAGGGAGTGATATTTCTCCTCTGCGCATGTTGCTGCGTTATCGTCCCATTCACTGCTTTTATGACTCTTCTCCAGTGTCTCCTCTGCCCTTTACTGCTTTTATATCCTCAGTGATTCACAAGAGCGGGGATTCCTCTTTTAGCACTGTCTGGTGTGAAATGCAGTGCTGGGCAGTGGTGATAACCATAGAGGCACATAAAGGAATGACCAAAGCTGTGGAAAACAACTTGCAAGGACTGGATTTATTTGATTCAAATGTGTACTTCGGTTCCACACAAATAAAGTCTGTTAGACCTAGAACAACACAACAAATTTAAATGAAGTAACTAAACTGAAAAACATCATTGTGTTGAAGTAATGTACTCTCACTGGCCACTTTATTAGGTAAATTGTATCTAAGATCATTGCCAATTTTATCGAGCCCACTTACCATATAGGTGCATTTGTAGTTCTACAATTACAGATTGTAGTCCTTCTGTTTCTCTGCATAATTTGTTAGCCCCCCCCCTCCCCATTTATTCTGTCAATTAATAAACATGACCCTACAGGAGCACAACTGGGCAAGTATTATTTAGGTGGTGGATCATTCTCAGCACCTCAGTGACACTTACTGTTCACTCTATTAGATACTCCTACCTTGTTGTACCACCTTGTAGATGTAAAGTTAGAGACAGCAGCTCATCTGTTACTGCACAGTTGGTGTTAGTCATCCTCTGGTCCTTTATCAGTGGTCAGTTACTGGCAAAAAAATCTTACTGCCCAGATAAATTGTTGTAAATAATTTACTTAAGTGCCTAAGACCATTGCATAGTAGTGTATATAATATAGTTATGTGAACACTATGTACACTTCAGTTCAGTGGAGGTGTCTCCTGTTTTTGTCACATTCTGAGACACCTTGCAGAACCAGTTATTGCAGTAATAGTCTAAATAATTCTAAAATGTAGAATTAGGAAGAGGTTGCTTGTGTGATCTTCAGTAACCTAAATGAATTCAGGTAAGTGCAGGTGGGCGGGCAGGGGGCTGTGTTTACTGAGAGGAGTGTAAGTGTTTTTAGGGAGCTTTTATTGGAGTGTGTTTACTGGGCTGAATCACACAGTGTGTATTTAGGGTTCTTCATTTGAGTTTTTTTTTTGGTCTCCTCCTCCAGCTGGACCTGACATTCCACTTGTTCGTGTGCGCTCTGGCGGGGGCAGGAGCAGCCGTCATTGCCATGGTGAGCTATTTTTCTCTCTGTGTCTCTATCGCTCTCCATCTCTCTTTCTTTCACTTCTTCCATGTATTATTATCTCCAACACACTCTCTCTCTTTCTCACTATCTCTCTATCTCTTTGTTCATGCTCTCTCTCTCTTTATTTTTATCTCTCATACTCTTCTGTTTTCTTTATTTTTATCTCTCTTCATCTTTATCTCTCTCGCTTGTTCTTCTCTCTATCTCTCTCTTGCTCTCTCTCTGTGCTGTAATTATCACCTCTGATAAAGTCGGGCTGTATACACACAGATAGTAGCGGTGATGTGAAAGAGAGAGAAAGGAGGTGAAAAGCACAGCTGGCATTTATTTCACGAGTGTTAGTGTTATAAAACAACTGAAGAGTAATAAGCAACAAGAACATACAACATATAAACCAAGTATATGTAAACATAAGTGTACAAACATATAAACCTATAAACAGGAGTGTAAAACCGCCATACACCAAGAGAGAGAGCGAAAGAGAGGGAGACAGAAAGAGATCAATAGAGAGAAAGAAAAGGAGACGGAGAGCAAGGGAGAAGAAGAAGCATACAGCACAAGAGAGAGCAAGAGCGAGAAAGAGAAGGAGGCAGGGTGACAGAGAAAGAGTAAGAGGAATGCTCAGCATCGAAAATGCATGGGGTGCTGTTGCCATGGAAACAGAGGAGAGGAGAGCAGAGAAGAGAAGGGATAGGCAGCTAAGTGAAGAATCGTCTCATGAGAAAATGCTTCTTGCTTCCACTTCAGACTGAAAAGAAGGACGAACGCACATAATGAAAGTATTCCAATCAAATCATCATCACAGAGTGTATTGCATAGCTTTCCTAAACTGCCAGTTAATACATACAGTCAGGTGTGGGTGTATGTGAGTGTGTGTGGTGGGCAGTAACATATGATCACTGCTGCAAAATTTTAGCTCAACCAGCCATGGCACCTGTTTTGCTTATTGCAAAATACAGGGTTTATTCTTAGATGTACACCTCATTTCACAACTCAAGCTCAAGCAGAATGCACAAACCAAACACCACTGCATGCAGCTCAAACATTTCTGCTTGTGGTCTTTTAATTATATAATTACATCATGCCTTTTATAAAACTACCTCTGCTCTCTTGCTATTGGAGCATTTTCAATGAAAGCCTGTCACCTAGTGGCGTTTAGAGGCATTACAGTGTTGCTTATTTGGGTGTTTCCAAAGCAGCAGTTTTATAGTGGTTTGTGTCTGAATGCAGCATCAACAAACCACTGTCACCAGCACTGTCCTATACAGCCATATGCCAAAGTTTCAGTTAAGATAAAATAGTTTAAAACATCTTCAACAGGGAACAAACTAATTTCAATGCATGATTTATATTTGTTCTCAGCACAGCAATGCTACCCAAAAGGTAGTAGGATGTTAGTGTGTGCACTGCTAGTACTACTGTATCAGTCATAGCAGCATTGCTGGGGTTTTTAAGGTATATTCTTATTGGCCTCATAATGGACTGTTTGCAAAATAATGCAATAAAGGTACACCTCTCAGCCAATCACAATCATCTTTAAAAGCTATGTCCTCCTTGGGTTAATCTTTGTGGAGGACCAAACTCACAGCTCAATGTCAAAACTAGTAACAGGCACATTTATGCTGGCTCTTAGGTAGGCTAAACTTTATCTGGGTTACTGCATCTACTAAAAATCACTTTAATATAATGTCTAACAAGAAATGTCATTACAGAAAATGTTAAGAGAAGTTAGCTAACTAGTTAGCTTTTTTAGCTCAGCTGCTAAGAATTAAACATATTAAACAGGAAAATACAATGCTCACATTTGTGATTAAAACAATGAAAATGTACAGATGAATATTAATGTCGTACACGCCATTCTTTTCATTGTTTCATTATAGTTTGCTAAAAGACCTAGTGTAAAAGACAAGTCCTCCTCAGCATCTAGCATTGCTCTGACCAGTGATAGGTTTAGCATTAGCTTCTCGGAAGGGGCAGCTTCCTTCACTAAAACCTCCTCCTAATTAGACATATAAACCTACCACTTTAATGTTAAGGGACTAAATGATTTCCCTGATCTAAGTAATGTAAACATGGTTTCATTTTTTCTTTTGTTTTGCTTTAAATTGGCCTACAGTCAGATTATGTTTTCAAACGTGTGTCTACACTGAACATCTTGTAATGCCAGTCTATTTTTTTTCAAAAATGTCATGAAGAATACTACTGAGCTTTTTAGTCATCAGTACAGTGTTACAGATGCTACCAGATGGCCTGAGCTGTTCAACGGACATAGCACAACGAACCTAAGGCAGGTGGGACTTCAATTAGTCAATTAGACACCCTGCCTTGTTGATACACTAGAGGTATACAGTAAGAGAAGATGTGTTAAATGCTCCTGGATGGCCTGTGTCCAGCACAGTGTGGTGATTTTCCTGTTCAAGCCCCCCCACTAAAGCTGGTAATTAATAGGTGAGTTGAATCAGGTATGTTTGAGTAGGGAATCACCAAACTGAGAATGGTTCAACCACTCTAATAATAAATGGTCACTGGTAGTCCTATGGTGGTCCCTTTGCATTGATAAGTCTATCATTTTGTTTACCCCTATAAATATGCACAGTCCTCACCAATCACAAGGCTGAGTTGTGTTGTCCACCCACACAGCCTTAACAAAACGGTGTTCCTCTAGAGCAGGAGGTCTAATCCTGGTCCTGGAGATCCACCTTCCTTTAGTGTCTAGTTCCAACCACAATCTGCTACACTTGTTCTAGCTAATCAACTTCTTCAGAAGTCTTTAAATGGCTAAACCAAATGCATTACTGTTATGTAAGGCAGGGCAGCATGTTAGATGCAAGTTGGAGCCTAATCTGACTGCCTGTCATTCATCCTTCCGTCTGTCCCTCTGTTCGTTCAACTGCCAGCATTCCCTGGGTGCACATCCAGCAATAAAATGAATAAGAACTATGTTTAAAAGATTACCATAAAAAAGCTGGATAAAGTCTTAAGTGAGCTGTAGACACAGTTGCATAGCCTGGAATATCACCTGCATATGTAGAGCCTGTTTTGTTTATTTTCTGTGGTCTCATTGTTATGTTTAGTTCTGCTTCAGTGGTGTAGTGGGCTGGGAGTCTTGGACTGAGGGCTGTCAATCATGCATGCTTAGTAGAATATTAGGACCATGTCCTAACAGCTCTTAGATAGGTACAATAGTTGATTTTAAGTTGTGTTTTACTATATTTCTAGCTTGTTTTTTCATTCAAACTTGTGGATGTTTAATATAACATTCAATTTATTATTTTACACTGTGTTCTGAGTTCAACTTTGGACATTAAATCAAAATGTGTTACAATGTACAGCTGTTTCTGTATTGTTTGTAAACATTATGTAAGTACTAAGCTAATTTGTGTAGATCAACCTGTTTTACTTTAGCAATGTACAAAACTTAGTAAAAAAATGTAGCTAAGCTAACTAGCCTACATTAGAATGTAAGTAAAGGAAGATCAACCAGTTACTGTGCTTGACTACCTATACACCCTTTAGCTATGATCTGAACCAACTTAGTATTTGTTATCCAAGCCAGGAAATATTGTGTAGATTTTTTGAGAGCATATTTGGGTATTACATAATTTTTAAGATGAATTGATTGGCACTGAGTGACAGGAGTCCTCTCTCCCTCTGCTGTGTCTCTGTGATGTGGGTGCTCATGCAACAGGTGGCGTCTGTGTCTGTCCTCATCCGTAATTACACCACGCTTATGACTCAGAGCCTGGGGAAATACTGCACGCGCTTCTGAGGTTCCAGCTTCAGCATGGGGCCCAATACTCCGTGTTTCCTCGCCTTACATACCCACTCCAGCCAGGGAAGCCATCTGTGGAGCCCTGGGACCCATCTCCATTGGCCATGAAACAAAGAAAATGGACATTATTCAATTCTGATCTAACATCCTTTAATTGGCTTCATTAAAATACTTCCCACACTTCTGTATATTATAACTACCTTTTGATTACACTACCACCCACCTCCTCCATCCTGTCTTGCATGAGATGGAGCAGGTTAACCCACTGAGCAGTGTGTGAAGAATCCTTCAAACTAAAACTAACCTGGCCCATCTTGGAGTATAAGCTTGTATTTCCTCTTGTGGTGTTCAGTAACACAGTTGCTTTGGTGCAATTTATAATGACTGACTATGCAAAGTGGTGTGACCATAATTTGGGCTGGAACAATCTGGTGTTCCAGCACCCTCTGGGTACCTTGGAAAAGGATAAAATGCTGCCACCTTTTCAAAGGTTCTGCATAGTTAAATGGTAAAGATGTCAACAAAGTTATTCAGAGTGGTTTGATATAAAATGCTCCATTGTAGAGAAGCTTGCATAGTTAGAATTGTTCACAGTGGTGGTGATATGAACCAGATATCTGAAGAGTTTAAGGTCTCTAAAAAATCACTCACAAAAAGTACATGAAAACGTTATGAATATGCTGCTTGATGCCCAACACATTGTTTAAGAGAGTTTTGAGATAAGCTTTTGGCCTAAAATGCATTTTATTTCCTTATTCATGGCGGAGAAGTATTTCATGGGTGTTATAAGGCAAAAGAAAACCAAAGATTATTTTTATGGATATACTGTTATTTTATCATTATCAACATTGCATATAAAACTCTCAAGACGTGTAGGTTAAATGGTCGTTTTAGATAGCAAATTAAATGTTTAAATTTCCATTGAAGACATCATGATCCCTTGTTTCTATCACCACCACTGTAAAGAAACCTAAGTTGGTAGGTTTCATTACAATGCACATAAAAACTTTGGATGACTGATTGCATCTCTGTGACTGAATTATGCATAGATTTTGAAAAATCGGTGGAATTTCTTTTTAAAAGAATAGCCTAACGATATGTACTAAGGTTGTGGGAAATTAATGTAAGCCAGTAGCCACCAAGTTGCATGATGTCATTTGCTCTTTGGTGGCTGTTCACTTTCATTCATTGTTAGCAAAATAAACCTTATTGAACAATGAATAATATTTGCTGTCACTGAAAAAAAGGGAAAGGACTAATCATATTTCACAGAGAAAATGAAGGGTCAGTCATGTTTCAACTTTGACAGAGGGTGTCCCCTTCCATCGCCTGTTCTGTAGAGTCTGGTGCAGGCTAACTTGTGACTACCTATCCAAGTCCATTTCTGTCCCCTAGCTAGCTAAAGTTGCTATGTTATTTACAGCCTAAGCTAGTTAAACTTGCATTGTAGGCTAACCTTTTAGCTAGCTGGCTGACATGGTCTGTGCATTGTACAGGCTAATTTGTGGCTTTGGTGATTTGCTAGATGAGTCAGCTTCCTTTGTGAGCTAATTTATTAGCTAGGTGGTTGACAAAATACATGCATTGTGTAGGCCAATTTGTAGCTTTGTGGACTAGTTTATGGACTAGCTAGGTACATTTGCTGTGTAAGCTAACCTTCTAGGTAGTTGGTTGGCAAGGTATGTGAATTGTATAGGCTAATTTGTGGCTGATTAGCTAGCTAAGTTAATTTCTCTAGCTAGCTAGAGTAACTCTGTAAGCTAACTTTAGCAAATTTAGAAAGAATTCCGCCACCTTCCAAATTCCCATTTAATCCCTGCCTAATAATGTTGTGGCCTAAGCATTTGGGGTTTTAATGAGCTAAACTTTTCCAGTTTGAGACAAATAACCGCTGTGCTTTCCTTCACTAACACGTCTCCCCTCCTGGCATGGATGTGTTCCTGTAGGTGCACTACCTGATGGTGCTGGCAGCTAACTGGGCCTACGTGAAGGACGCCTGCAGGATGCAGAAATATGAGGACATCAAGACCAAGGAGGAACAGGAGCTGCATGATATCCACTCTACCCGCTCCAAAGAGCGCCTCAACGCTTACACATAAACCACATACACACTCTTACAAACACACACACACACAAACTCATACACACAAACATAGCCAAGCATGCCCCCCCGTCCCTGAAGAACACACACACAAACACATTCATATGTGTAAACATGCTTAATTACGTCTTTTAAATTGAATTTGAGTTGCAGGATTAGGGAATCAGGGAGGGTTCGGGGTGGAACAGGGGTTAATTTTTTTTTTTTTAAATTACGGGTGTGACGCAGAATGTTGGTCAAGGGGAGTGATGATTAGCCCCATGGCAACATCTCTGACTACCCATAACTCACCAGGATTGAGACTTTATTTCCACTACATTTTAACATCTTTATTATGTTCTTTCGTTCTTTAATCTCTCTTCCTGTACCTTCCTTTTCACTTGTTTTTTCAAGCTCTTTTAAGACACAGACAGCACACCATCCTACAGCACATAAAAGAGTGACTTGTGTCTTTTTTCTTATTTACACCACATAACTCTCATGGCCACCTTAGCTTTCTTGACACAATTTTCCCACTTTCTCAACATACCAATCTTAAGTTACTCAAACAGGGCTCCACTTATCGAAAGAACAAACCTTCCTTTTTATTTTCAACCTTAAGAAACCAAAATGTGACCAAACTTTGTATGATTTTACAGGTAAACTTTTCACAGCTGCCAAAACTTGGCATCTTGCAACAGCATTAAAAAACAATGTACAGATTCTTTTCCAGCAAATTCTCTATTGGTTGGGAGTGCCAGGGATTTCAACACAGTACCATAAAGTGACTTCTTACTACTGTTCTACTGTAGCTTGGCCTAACTCTGAAATGTCTGCTAGCTGCTCTAAGTAAATCATGAAGCTGCAGCATTGGTGCTTCGTCTCAAACTGTTCGTTAAGCTGTGAAGCGCATAGTTGCTCTAGAAGTGGTATGTCTTCAGGTGGGTTGTGGAGGAGGAGGATGTGAGTAGAGGAAGTGAGGGATTTTTTCCAAGACTGTCACCCTTTCTGATCGACTGCCCATTTAGGATTTGCCTTGGAGAGACTCTGTAGATATCTTGATTTTTCTCTCATTCATCACAAGCCATAATCTCATTTGCAAATAACATTGTTCATTTTTTTTGTTCCTTTTGCTTAGTTTTAGCTTTAACTTTTTAAATGCAAGATTTTTTGTCACTCCTCTGCACTGTATATATATATACATATATATATAACTCTATATAAATGTATACATATATTTCACTTTGGTTTCAGGTCATATCTAAGAAGTTTAAAGAACATGCACACTGACATTTACACTCTTCAAGTGAAAGGTGCCACACAGGGTTCTTTCAGTGATGCCATAGAAGGACCACTTTTGGTTCCTTAAAGAAATCTGACCATTTATAGGGTTTTAGAGCTTTTACATTATGCAGAAGATCTTTCCAGTTTCTTTAATCAGTCAAATCTTCATACAAGCAACTGTATTTTAATATGCTCTACTCAAGAACCCAGGCAAGAGAATAGGGAGAACAAAAAACACATGCAATAGTAAAACATTGTGAGAGTGAAATAAAGTAAAATAATAAAAAAAGAATAATTGTAAGTAAAATGAAATACATAAATTAGAAACACAAGCAAAAATATGAATAACAGTTACCTTAAAATCTTGTTTTGTTTCTAAAAAAGATTCTCTAAACCAACATCCAGTGAATTTTCTTTAGGGTACCAAATGTGGTTCTTCCATTCTGTTGCATAAAGAACCCTTTTCCTTTATTTTTCAGAGTGTTGGTGATACTCTTGAGATCACTGCTGGGGATAAAACAAAACAAAAAAAGTATCCAGATCTAAATGGCAAGTCTAATAATTAGAACCACTGGTCCTGTTGCCAAATTAAAAAAAAGAGAAAAAAATGACATACAAGGGTTTAATTTACAGTTTGCCAAAATATTTCATTTAATGGCACAGAATGTCCTAAATGAATAAAAACTTGATATATATATATACACTTTATGTACTATTCTTGAACATGGACCAAACTCAATCTTGCCTATTTCAATGTCCCTGAGTTTGCAGAAGTGTCTCATGATTCTGTTGCCTGACGATAGAGGTTTTTGTCAGTGTTTCAAAAACAAACTTACACAAATGAAGCTAGTATTTTTTGTGCACTTATTGACCATTGTGAGCTCTTTCTCAGTGTAAGTGCATTTGGATTCAAGGCTGAATCCCTGTACTGTTATTAGTCATACGGCATTGGTTTTTAAACAGAAAAAAAAAGAAAACTGTATTAGGTAAAGACAGTGAACATAGCTGTTATTTGTGGCATGGTTATGCATTTATGATAATAGTTTTAACTGACTCAAAGAAAAAAAAATTAAAGGAAAAAAAAAGTCCTGCTTTATTTTGATTTTTACACATTGTCTTGCTGAGGTCAGCTCTTTTTTTCCTCTTGCTAAGCTAACAGTATTAAAAGCTAAATATCTTACTAGGTTGTAGTGTTTGAGTTTCGTCCTCTCTAGTTTGTAATGATTTTCAAAACCATGTCTTAAAACAAATGACTTGTTATGATGTTGCGTATACAGTATTAACCAGACGATGCTTTAAGCTCGCCCTCTCTCTCTTTCTCTCTCTCTCTCTCTCTCTCTCTCTCTCTCTCTCTCTCCCTCCTCGTATTAGTTTTTTGTACTTTCACTAAGAATGCTTTGTAGCCGGCTGTAAAATTAATCAGTTTTGTACATAAATGTGCCAACAGCTTGACAGTGGCTTTTTTGTTTTTTTTGAACTGTAGGAACAAACTTGCTTGCGTAAATAAAGACACTTGTGTACTTGTTAATAATTAACTCTTTGTCAGCTTCATTATTTTATAAAAACCTTTACAGAGCAGAGGATTAACCAGACCAACCTGACCAAAGACATGGTTACAGCAAGAGGCCATCTGAATTCCCATGCAAGGCCCTAGAATCAGATCCATGCACAGGCATTTTGAAGGGCAGTGGCTCAAGGTAAAAAAGGTAAAAAAGGGCAACATGAGCGTGAAACGCCTGGATCGGGGCCTTGTCGTGGCGGAAGGGCTTGTGTGGTCTAGGGATCTTCAGAGCTAAGTCGTCGGGAGCAACATGCTCCTGGTAGGGTCTCCCAGGGCGAACAGGTCTGGAGTGAAGACCCAGACTAACTCGATCCAAAAACCTCCATGAAGAACGGACGCAAAACATCGTGTACCCTGCCCGGGAGAGGGTCACCGGGACCTACCCCTGGAGCCAGGCCTGGGGGTAGCGTCCCTCGGCGAGCGCCTGGTGGCCGGGCAGCCCACGTAACCCGGCCGGGCTCAGCCCGAAGAGGCAACGTGGGGGGACCATGTGGGCCCACCACCCGCAAGGTCCAGCATGGGGGAGTGGTGCAGTGCCGTACAGGCAGTGGGAGATTGCAGGGGGGCCCTTGGTGGCCTAGGCCCCTGCGGCAGAAACTGGCTCTTGGTACGTGGAACGTAACCTCACTGGGGGGGAAGGAGCCGGAGCTTGTGCGGGAGGTTGAGAGGTACCAACTAGATATAGTTGGGCTCACCTCCACCCACAGTATCGGCTCTGGAACCAAACTCCTGGATAGGGGTTGGTCCCTCTCCTACTCCGGGGTTGCACAAGGTGAGAGGCGCCGGGCGGGTGTGGGGATACTCACGAGTCCCCGGCTGGCGGCAGTACAGTTGGAGTTTGTCCCGGTGGACGAGAGGGTCGCCTCAATGCGTATTAAAATCGCAGAGAGGAAAACTCTGACTGTTGTGTGTGCTTATGCACCAAACAACAGGTCGGAGTATTCGGCCTTCTTGGAGCAAGTGGGCGGGGTTCTGGAAAGGGTCCCAACTACAGACTCCATAGTCTTACTGGGAGACTTCAATGCTCATGTTGGCAATGACTGGGAGACCTGGAGAGGTGTGATTGGGAAGAACGGCCTGCCCCATCTAAACCCGAATGGTGAGTTGTTATTGGACTTGTGTGCTAGGCATGGATGGTCCATAACGAACACCAAGTTCCAACCCAAGGATGTTCATAAGTGTACGTGGTACCAGAGCTCCTTGGCTGAAAGGTCAATGATCGACTTTGTTGTCGTTTCATCTACTCGGGACCGTATGTTCTGGACACTCGGGTGAAGAGGGGTGCTGAGCTGTCGACTGATCACCACCTGGTGGTGAGTTGGATCAGATGGCAGGGAAGACTAATGGTCAGACCCGGTAGGCCCAAGCGAATAGCGAGGGTGTGCTGGGAATGACTGCCGGAGGCCCCTGTTCGGAATGATTTAAACTCCCACCTCCGGGAGAGCTCTCTCATGTCCGGCAGGAGGTAGGAGACATGGAGTCTGAATGGACCCTGTTCAAAACCTCCATTGTGGAAGCTGCCAGGCATGGCTGTGGCCAAAAGCTTGTGGGTGCCTGTCAGGGCGGTAACCCAAGAACCACCTGGTGGACACCGGTGGTGAGGGAGGCCGTCAAGCTGAAGAAAGAGGCCTTTAGGGACTGGATGGCCCGGAGGACTCCCGACTCAGCAGATAGGTACCGACCGGCAAAAAAGGTGGCAGAAGCAAAATCCAGGGCATGGGACGAGTTTGGTGGGGCCATGGAAAAAGACTTTCGGTCAGCCTTGAGGAGGTTCTGGACAACTGTCCGGCGACTCAGGAGTGGTCGGGGTGACTGCGCCCAGGCTGTATTCAGCAGGGGTGGAGAAACTCTGACTTCAAATGAGGATATTGTCGGTCGGTGGAAAGAGCACTTTGAGGAACTCCTTAATCCGGGTGACATGCCTCCCTCACGGGAGTCAGGGCCAGAGGCCTCTGGCGTGTCAAGCTCCATTTCCCTGGTGGAGGTCACTGAGGTAGTTGGCAAGCTCTTCAGTGGCAAGGCACCGGGGGTGGATGAGATTCGTCCGGAGATGCTTAAGGCTCTGGATATTGTGGGGCTGTCGTGGCTGACACGCCTCTGCAATAGTGCATGGACCTCGGGCACAGTACCCTTGGACTGGCAGACCGGGGTGGTGGTCCCTATTTTCAAGAAAGGGGACCGGAGGGTGTGTGCCAACTATCGGGGTATCACACTGCTCAGCCTCCCTGGGAAAGTCTATGCCAAGGTGCTGGAAAGGAGACTTCGGCCGATAGTTGAACCTCAGATTGAGGAGAAACAATGCGGATTCCGTCCCGGCCGTGGAACAATGGACCAGCTTTTCACCCTCTCACGGATTGTTGAGGGGGCATGGGAGTTTGCCAACCCAGTCTACATGTGTTTTGTGGATTTGGAGAAGGCTTACGACCGTGTTCCCCGAGATATCTTGTGGGAGGTCCTCCGGGAGTATGGGGTGCCGGGGTTACTACTCGGGGCCATTCAATCTCTGTACGCCCGGAGTGAGAGCTGTGTTCGTATACTCGGCATTAAGTCGGACTCTTTCAGTGTTAGCGTTGGACTCCGCCAGGGTTGTGCCCTGTCTCCACTCCTGTTTGTGATATTCATGGACAGGGTGTCAAGGCGTAGCTGGGGTCAGGAGGGCATTATGTGTGGAGGCCGGAGGGTGGCTATTTGCAGATGATGTTGTTCTTTTGGCTGGATCACATGGATGCCTCCAGCGCACACTGGAGCGGTTTGCAGCTGAGTGTGAAGCGGTTGGTATGCGGATCAGCACCTCCAAGTCTGAGTCCATGGTCTTAGCCCGGAAAAGGATGGTATGCCCACTCCAGGTAGGGGGAAAGGACCTGCTCCCAGGTGGAGGAGTTTAAGTATCTCGGGGTCTTGTTCACGAGTGATGGGAAGAAGGATCGTGAGATCGACCGCAGGCTGGGACAAGCGGCAGCAGTAATGCGGTCGCTGTACCGGACTGTAGTGGTGAAGAGGGAGCTGAGCCGTAAGGCGAAGCTCTCTGTTTACCGATCGGTCTACATCCCGACCCTCACCTATGGTCATGAGCTGTGGGTAATGACCGAAAGAATGAGATCACGAATACAAGCGGCAGAAATGAGCTTTCTTCGCAGGGTGGCGGGCTACACTCTATTTGATAGGGTGAGGAGCTCGGCCATCCGGGAGGAGCTCGGAGTAGAGCCGCTACTCCTCCGCATTGAGAGGAGCCAGCTGAGGTGGTTCGGGCATCTGATCCGGATGCCCCCGGGACGCCTCCCGGTGGGGGTGTACCAGGCACGGCCTACCGGAATAAGACCCCGGGGTCGTCCTAGGACCCGCTGGAGGGATTATATCTCCAAGTTGGCCTGGGAGCGGCTTGGGGTCCCCGGGAATGAGCTGGAGGAAGTTGCGGGGGACAGGGTCACCTGGGATTCTCTGCTCTCCCAACTGCTACCGCGACCCTATCTGGACTAAGCGGTTAACGATGATGATGATGATGATGATGAACATGAGCGTGAAACTTAATTTTATTTATAGCATATTGTAACCATGTTTCAGAGGAAACCGAGTGTAGTGTTATCCCAAGGCAACCTAAAACATTAGTGTTACTGTCTGAGCAAGAATTAGAAACCCTCATGTAATCCCCATCCCACCATGAACCACAGAGGTATAACTCTATAGAGCTTTGCATTAAACCTGTTTTTTTTTTAAATAACAACATTTTGGTTTAGCAAGTGTCCCTTATTGCCAACATTATGTTTGGTTGTTGTTCAAAATAACCATATAGAATGTGATGTTTTTGTCTTCATTAGATCATTTTTACTATCCAATTTTATTGCCAGAATTTCCATCTCTGTAGTGATCTGTGCATCTGTGTAAGGTTGGAGTTACTGAGAAAAAAAATGACTATGGACAGTACTTCACTTTAGGGGAAATTGGAGAACAGTGAAGCTTGTGGAGTGCAAGCTAACAGACAAGCTCTACTGACACTGAGCCTTGTCTCGCTGAAATAGATCTTGAAGAATGGCCATATAAAATATAATTATACATGTTGACCAAGAGGGCACAGTCTGAGGGCATAAGGGCAGAGGCGCAAACAGTGCTTACAGAGACTAGCCGTTATATTACTCACCCCTTCTCCAGGCCAAGGTAACACATTTTGTGATTGTTTCACAGTACAGTCTCTACTAGGCTTCCAGGGTCAAATTAATTGCTTAACCCACCAAATAGATGACCGTGTCATCCCGGTAAGTGACAAGAATCTGTTGGTGAGGCTGGAGGAGTCTGTTCATCAGCTGCAGGCATATTACAAGGGCCCTGTGAAGACTGAAGCCATTAGGTTCAGCATGCAAGTATTCAATGAGTATATCCATGTGGGGCAGTGAGTTGGCGTGAGATATCTTTCAGCCCCTGGGGAAGTCATTGCAGAGGTACAACCAATGGCAAGGATGGTGATGACTTCTATTGCTGTTTTAATGTTTTATTGAATCACTTTTGTACAACAGAGATATGTGAAGAAAACATCTGATAAGTGGTCTGTTATCTTCTTGAGTTCTTGGCACTGGTCTGGAGTCAGGTCAGGCCCCAGACTAACCAAGTACCATAACATACATGCCTGACCTGTTCAGCAATAGTGTATAAACCTGGACAGGACCTTGCATTCAGCGACAGACATCGGGACCAGAACTAACTCACTGGGTTGGAAATTGTGGGGACAGTTGTATGTGTAGATTCTTGTGCTCTCTGGGCTTCCTACATATGTTCTTGTACCATGTGTCCAATTTTTACTGTATTGCTTCATTTCCCAGATGTGCTAGGTGACTGAGCCTAAAGAAGAAGATATCTAACTTAAAGGCAAATGGCCACAAGGGGTTACATGGGTGTAACCTCCCACCTGATGATCATGTTTTTAGGGTTACATGGGGAAAACCCTGAGGAACTCCTACAAACCAAAGAGCATATTGGAAAGCA